ACTTTAATGAGAAAATAAATTGCTTATATTCTCCTATTTCCACAGAAATGCAGAGGCAATAAAGAATATTGTGACAACGGTTGAGACAACATAAAAATGGGCATAAGACGTGCGTGAAATTGATGGGAGGCGCTATGACACAGTGGCTATGAGCGCGTACAATGTGCACTTATACTTCTATACTATATACACAGAGTTTTAGTGCACCAACATGTGAAAATATGTAACATGTACAGTTATGCGTCTTTATCTAATATGTCTGTTGGAATATATTGTATGCGTTCAGCACTCGCAACACGACATTTGCCTCACAGAAATTTTTTATTTATTTTAGTTTTTCTGTTTACTGCACTTTCGTTCGCTCTAGCGCCTCAACAAGTGTATAAACAGCTTTTTGCGATTACTGTTATTTTTTTCTTTCTTTAAATTATTATTTTTTTTTTGCTTTTTCGCTTTTATAGTCACTATCATTTGTCTTGCTTTAAACATCAGCTAAGATAGTAGTTATCCTTTGCTGTCTTTATGACTGCTTGTTATCAACATTATTTGTTGAACTGAACACAACAGCATTGCCAAGTAAATTTAATATCTGAATTACTAAGGACATAAGGTTCAGTATTATTTTTTAATGCTTTCACACCCTTAGTGCCTGGTTTTTGGTAAAAGTACGCTGATACATACATATATCGCGAAGCACTTATTTTTTTTTTTTTAAGTTTACTCAAAATATTTTTCCAGCTTCGTCCATAATTTTATATAAAACTTTTTCCAAATATTAGATTTTTCCTTGAGCGCTTTACTTATATACTTGCATCATTGAAACAGTGTGTATATAGCTATATTTCGTTATTATCACAAAGATTTTTTTTTTGGTTGTGCTAGCTTTTATGTATATATATACATATACACATAATGGATAAATATTTTTTATATCTTTTCGTCGTTGACCTTTTTGAGCAGCTTTCTTGAAGCACTCATTATGATTTCTCTATTTACTTTGGTCACTTCAAGGCATCAGAAGCAATTTCGTTTCTTTATTTTATTATTTTTCGTTTTCTTTCTTCTCACTATAATTTATTTTTGTTTACTTTTTTTTGGGGAAGATTGCAAGTATTTCTCAAACACTAGTATTTCTTAATCCACAAAAAATAGTGGGTATTTTTATTGCTCGAAAAGGTAATCAATTAATAATTGTTTAGTTTAGTAAGATTAGTTATGATGAAATCGTGTATTCACATTGATAAAAGAAAGCCTTTACCGGTATAACCTAAAACGGTTAAATACCGCGCATAATTTATAAAGGCTATAACTTTACGACTTTAGTGGGAGTAAACGAGCAGAAAATAAGTGTGAAATAGAAATGTGTCAATTATACGATGTGTGGAAGAATGATGCAACTGGTTTGGAATATTCACGGCAACAATGAGAAAAAGTTAAAGAACTGTGTGCTTTGGTAATGGTAAATACCAATGATATTTGAATTAAGTTCTATTATTACACAGATATACACCACTGATGGTGAAAGTACTTAAATTAATTTTAAATGAAATTTCTTTTGAGGCAATAAAACCGTACTTCTGATGACTTCTGATGGCATTACTATTTCTTTTTAACTTAATTTCACTTAATTGAAAATACGCACGATTTTGTTGATCTGGAGATCAAAGAAGTTTCTTTCCGGTCTACAATTCAAGCTTTCAGAAAAAGTTCAAGCATTCACTACAAAAACCAAAAAAAAAAACGTTAACTTCCGTTGCATAAGTATAAAAGATTTCTTACAAGCACTTGATTTTTATTGGTCAATTTGTAGAGTAACGGAATAGTAACTCGATCTGCACAATTTCTTGCACCATTGCCTTAGGCAATAATCCATGTCAAATTTCGGAAAGATATCTCCTCGAATGAGAAAGTTGTCCATATAAACACTTAATTCCGATCGTTCATTTTGTATGGCCACTATATGCTATAGTGGTATGATAATGGCGATTCCGTCAAATGAGCAGCTTCTTGGAGGAAAAAGGACGTGTGCAAGTTTCAGATCGATATCTCTAAAACTGAGGGACTAGTTCACGTATTTACAAACAAACAGATGGCAAAATCGATTCTGCTCGTTATGATGACCTTTTATATAGTATATATTTTATAGGGTCTCCGACATTTCCTTCTAACGGGCATACTTTATTAACCCTGCTTAGGGTATAACAAAATAAATTAGTATGGAATATAATGTGTCGCTCGAAGTAATCTTAAAATTTTTACTTTGATTGGTATTGGAAAGTGGAGAGTATAATGAAAATGAGGTATATTTAGGTACTGTTCTTTGGTTTCGCGAATTGTACGAGTTATGCACCAAAGCTCTATGTCTTCAAACTAAAATATACTCATGTAATACCTTTAACTATTTTAAATTTTTGTGCAGACAGAAGGTTATTAAATCTCAAATATTTTTACTTAATTACTAAGTGAATAGAGACTAATTGGCCACGAATAACTTTGTTGCACCCAAATGGCGCTCCGTTCAACATTTAACTCCCATGTTTTTCATGTGCAATTGATGTTCCAACTTTGTATATATTTAGCAAGACAGCACATTCTCGCTTGAAAGTACTGTGTAGAGCAAATAAAATTTCAGAATTTGTAAAAAGTTGAACGCACATGCTGGTAAATGTGTATTGATACTATATACCAACTACTAAGAAACATACTCGTTCCGAACTACTAGCGTTGTTAGGATATTTTGCAGTAAATTGTAGTATTCGACTAAGTAATTTAGTGTGGTATATTTTATGTTCAAAATTTTGAAAAGGTAACAAACATGGGTGTACTAGATGAAATTATTATAGGTAAGTTGCTAACTTATTACATTATAGATATTTAAAAAACTTTTAATATTGAATATCAGATATGAAAACACTTTAAAAAAATAATATATAATCTATTAAGAAATCTTTCGAAAAAAGTAAAAGACTTTCTAAACTAAATTAAGTATAGTCAAGGGACAAAACATCTGAAATTTTTGGGATCTTAAGCATATCTTTTCAAATTATTAAATACAAATTTGGGTTGAAATATACCTAAACTATTCATAATTCTGTGGTAAGCTGGCTAATAACCAAAGATGTTTAGAGCTAGCTTCAATGTTGTACTTTGAGTTATGCAGTTGCTTTCTCTACATACCATGTGCACTCATGCTTAAAAAGCAAAAAGTAAACAGCTCAATTTTAACACAGTCATCAAAACCCCAAGTATCCAGCAATTTGAAATAAGCGAAAAGCAAAAGTAAACAAAGTGTTTGCCAACACGTTTATCAAAAACACACATACTTATAGAAATGCACACATGTATGTAGTCGTATATAAGCATGTGCTTTGCAGCGGAAATCTCAGCAGAGCAAATTGTTAAGTGGTATAGTATACTACATAAGAAAAGTTGCTTATAAGACATGGTGTACCTCACTCTAATATTCTCATAGAGAGCGTATGAGAGATTGGTGAAAAGTGAGAGTTTGTGTTCACATGTACGCGTTGGAATTAATAATAATGGTTTTTATTATATATTTGATGCCGTGGTGAACCAATTTTGGAGGTAAATATTTTGAAATTAATTTCATTTGTTAATTTGCTTAAACATTTTAAAGTATGTGATAATATTTGTTAAAGTTTTGTTGACGAAACTGTTTGCAGAGCTTTGGTGTATATATGAGTATGAGCTCTAAGTGTTAAAAATTTCAAACTTTTTGATAAAGTAAGTACAGTAGTATGTGAATGTTTGAGTAATGTGTGTGAAAAGTGAATTTTTAAAGTTTAAATGCTAGCGAATCAAATGAGTAACATATTTCTTTCTTGCTAACAGTATCGAATTTGGAGACACTCGAATGTAAAATTTCTGTGTTATGTTGGAAACAATATTTCTTAAATAACCTCAAAAAATTTAATTTAATATTTTTTTACATTTTTAAAAGACAATTATTTGTTTGAAAGTTTAATACCTTAGAGATAATTGATAAGTTTACAAATAATGAAAACAAAATAAATTTCAGCGGAATTATTTTTTTATTCCTTCCTTTCGCTATTAGGAAGTTCATATTTTCCATGTGTTTTAAAAACGATTATTTTCTGTATTAGAAAAGTGGTTTAACAGTACATTAGATAAAAGCAGTAGAAAAAGATGTTGACGAAAAGAGGAAGGTAAAAAAACTTCAATTGCACTGAAGCTAGAATGTCTCAGTATTTTGCGTTCTTTCAGTTTCGAACCATTGAATCCTTTTGGAGTTTACCCTACATTTTTAAAAAGAGTATCTGTTATTTATTTTTAAAATTCTGGTTAATATTTATGCCATTCATTTTTTGAAAAATAATTATCAAAAATTTTTAACTTCAAGTTTTTGTTATTTCAAAATTACAAGCAATGGGGTCAACATTATTTAATTAGACAAGCAAGCTAAAAAATCTTTGCTTAGACAATCCCCAAACGATATTCGAATGACTGACTAGGTAACTACACTTCAAATTTGCTTGGCACAAAGGAACATCATTGTGACCTTTCATTGCACATCAAACCAATTAAATGCAGTTGCTTTTGTTGTGCACTTAATCCTAAAAGCATTTGCTTACATATACTGCATCTGTCATTTGCTTGAATATTGCTGCCTAATTTGAAAACCCTTGCATACTTATGCAAAACAGTTCAGGTGAATTCACCACTGGATGCCTAGTCTAGTTGACTATCTACTAGTGCTCAATTATTTCTTCGGAATAATTGCTGATGAACGGTTGTAAAGAACGGCAGACACGAGAGAAACAATAGGGTATACATAGTGGTTGGCCTGACAATAATTCCGGCAACAATAACATAGACCAACCGAGGTACATAGACCGCTTACTAACGCATACATATTTGCCAATATGTGTGCCTACCTATACATACACACGTACATGCATAAGTGCTTGCTGAAATTCATTTTGTATTCTGTCAGTTCATTAATACTTGACTTAACTCACCTGAAATGAGGCCGTAAACGCTGAGATTACTTCGTATGTCTGCTCCCATGGATGGCCTGCATCCGGGTGAAATGGCGTCAAAATGTACTGCAATCCCAATAGCGGTACAAGCAAGAGTGTTGCGCTGTAAGAGGAGGGAAAGAGGAAGTTAAGCATATTGTTGTGGAGTAAAAATCGTAAATACATACAGGTACTATTTATTTTTGAATTTAATTAAATTCTGGGCGAAATGTAATTTTTACAGTGTACACTGTTTTCTAATATAACTAAGTAATGTTCACATTCGAGTTTCTGCTCTTTTGTGAATAAATTAAACACCAGGAAATGTAGAGTTTGTATTTTTAAAGTACAATCTAAATTGACAATGTGAGGTTGCTAACATTTTTTAGTTCAAACGAATTAAACGAGTCTAAAATGGTATTGTTAGCAACTAGCTTATTTTGATAAAGTTATTTAAAAATATTTTAATTAAATATTACAAAGAAAATTTTTTATTTGTGGAATTCGTTATTTTCTTTGATAGTTTGGGGGTTTATTCTCATAAAAAATGTTTGCTTTAAAGGGATATTCTAGTCTTTAAATTTGAAGAAATCGAAAATATTTTTTTTAAAGTTTAATCGAAATATTCAAAAATATCGCTAAAAAGTTGTTTTTTATTATTTACTCTCTGTAATAATATTAAAAAATTCAAGAAAATTAAAAAAATCACCGCCGACATATGATTTTGATTTTGAGTGGCGCCATTAAATAATTTTTTTTCAGTTTTGTCGTTCATACTATTATGACATTTATACTAATCACGAATCAGTTATATATTATGGTAACGACGAGGACGCGGCCTTTTTCCCTTCTCTATTTCAAGAAAGTATAACCTTATGAAATTTGTGTTGTTTAATTTATTTTGTGTATTCTTGAAATATAAAAAAAAAATAATGGTAAAAAATTGATGGTAAAAGTATCAGTTGCTTTTTTCTTATCAATTGCCACAAAATGCTCGAAATTCGAACCTTTTGAGAAGAATACCTCCAAAACTCCTATTTATATATTTAAAAATTTTTTTTTTTAACATCTGTGCAATAGCTAATAAATATTGATGAATAAGGAATATTTTCTCCAACTAAATCTAGTCCAACTCCTAGGCAGAAAGTAATTTACTTATAAACTGGATTATTTTTATATTCCGTAAGTGGTTCTTTTTGGTATTTTAAATTAGGAACTGTAACGAATTTCATTTGTGCTACATACATAGGAACTCCGCTATAATAATACCATACATATCCTAGAAATATATTTAAGGCAACTCAGTCCAAACGTAGGGAAATACTAAAAACAGCAGCTGAGATCAGCTCATTTGGCGGAACCACCAATATCGGACCACTATAGCATATAGCTGCCATACAAACTTACCGACGATTGAAATCAAGTTCATGTAAAAAATGTGCACCTGTACTTTCTGCAATACTCCAAAATGTATTTGAAAAGAAAGAAAAAAGTATAAAAGTTGACGTATTTTTACTTGTCATCCATCTTATACATGTCATTAATTGTTTGGAGATTATTACCACGATAGAAGAAAAGATTAAGACATTTTCGTAACGATACTTTCGTGGAGTGAAGCTAACGGAATACTTTGTTTACTAGTAAGTACTATAAAAATTTATATTCTGAACCCCATATAAAACTTTGATATGATATTTACTTTCTAAATCTTGAACTATATTTAAATATGTACAGATTGGTTGCAAAGTTTTTGTGCCCGAAATGAAAAAATATTGGTTTTAGATCCAAGTTTCATCTATAGTTATAAAACGATGCAAGGAATTATAAGTCGATGTCAAGAAATCAGTTTTATTCTGCTTTTAAGCTTCAAATTATTCTTAGAAATTTGTTTTCGATCCAGTTTTTGTTGAATTGTTCACGTGTGCGGCAATAACTTTCCAAACAGCTTTTTCGTATGTAATTCTCCATGTAACTCTTAATGAAGTACTCGTTCCTCTGAGATACCTATGGCATTAACAATTTCAACTACAGTCAAACTTGGATCTTCCCTAACAATATTATGAACTTGTTCAATTATTTCTGGTGTGGTTGCAGTTTTTCGTCGTCCTTCACGTGGATCGGCTACAAGCCTAAGACGACCACGTCTAAATTTACCAGCCCAAAATTCAACGATGCGTTTTGAAGGTGAGGACTCCTTATACACTTCTAACAATTGTTCATAATTTTCCTTGGCTTTTAAACCTGCGCGATGTGTTCTCACAATAGATGTGCCAACTTGAGAAAAAAAGTTGGAGCTATTAGTGCTGTTTCTTGGTGAGACCAACGAACCTGTATACGTTATAACCATAATTATAGGAGGTACCACATTATGGTTCGAATTGGCCAGGTGGTTTATGATATAGGAATTTTCAGGCAAAAAATTAGGTGTTTTCTTGCATTTAGACATTTTTGATTACATCTGAATTTAATTCATATCCAAATCTTCTCTTCTACGTTTTCATTATTATTATTATTATTTTTATTTAATTATTTTAGAGAATCTATTTCCATCAAATTTCATCATCAAATCTATTTCATACTTCTAAGAAGTACCTGGGAAGCTTATTGAGAAAGGTTATACACTACTAATTGGATTTCAAACGAGTAGATAAATACCAAAAGTCTGAATTTAAATTAAAATTGCAAAATTTTCTTCTTCAGTTGAATCAAAGGTTGAAGCACGTAAATAATCGCATTGTTTCATATAAATGAGTAACATATATTTATATTACTTTTCTAAACAATTTTACTACTCTAATTTCACATAGCTAAAAATATTAAACTGAAAGGCTACTTGATTGTTGTACTGTTGGTTTATTTAATCAATTTCTCTTCAAAAATTGGCTAAAATTCCCGTTTTTGTTCAACTGAAACTTTCAACTAATAAAAAATTCCTGAATTCTTTGAAACAGTTTTCCTAAATTATACGTATTAACATATCATAGTAAAGTTTAACTTCAATAAATAGATGGAAAAATAAATATTGTATGAAATAAAGAGATATACTTAAAATATGTTAAAATATTATACTCGTATATAAAATATATATAGGAATGGGTATGGTAGTGTATATACAAGTATGTAAAGTGAAAATGGCACAATCACCGGAAAGCATTAAAACTGGCAACTCACTTGCCACACTCCATTCATCACTACACAACAATAATACTCACCGGAATGCTTGCAGGACGGTGCGTGAGGGTCCACAGCTGCCTTGTATGCTCGCCGGTGCCTTCAGCTTAAGTAGCACAACGCGCACAATATTGCATAGAAATAGCAAATTAAGAAAAATGGAAATACAAACGGGTACAACGAGAACATTCTCAAAGTTCGTGCTATGCATCCAACAGCTGGGCGAGCGAAAACGTGCAATTAATGAAAATAAAAGAAGTGTGGAAAACAAAATGATTAAAGTTTTAGTTAATTTTAATGAGCATCAAATTGGCAGACAGCAAAAGGGTTGGCAAGTCAAGGCATTTGCTGGGGCAATAAGAAAGCGACAAGTATGCAAATTATGCGCCGCAACTAAAGTTGTTATTGTTTTTGTTTTTCTAATATTATTTTTATGGCCGCTTTGCAATTGTCAACTCTCATTGGTTGCTGCAATTTATATAAACAATTTATGTAGGGACGTATGTACTCACTGTTTAACTTCATCGCCGGAGCCGCCGAGACCACGCGCCATAGCGTAAATGAAGATAACAATTGCCGGCGTGCCCCAGCCGAGGGCAATCAGCCATTTCACCAATTTCTTCTCCGATATAAAGGCGGACACCAGCACTGTGTGCAAGTAGAAGCCCTCGCAGAGCATCCATGAATAGTTGGTTAGCAGGAAGTAGTGGAGTATTATGTGCAGCGCAACACAGGGTGGCTGCAAAGCAGAAAAAAAAAATTGCACACATATGGTATATAAAAAACATATATACATATATGCGTATATCATATAGTGTAAATGTGTGTGTTTCTGTCAGCAGCAAACAGTTGGTATGGCAACTATTGCTGAAATTTTTTGCGGAAAATTGAAAAAATCGCAATAAAAGCGTCGTAAAGAAGCTTCACACAGGCACACACACACTAGCGTGTCACACCTACACGCACATAATATTTACGATTATTTTGCGAATTTACAGCCTCCATGCAATTACTGTATGCAAATTTTTTCTGCGAACATATGCATTGGCAGAGGAATAACTGTACAGTTTGTGTGTGTGTGTATAAAGTGAAATTTCGTTTTTACAATATACATATATTGCTCTCTACGCCGCTGGCAACAGTGCGTGTATATGTGTGTGCTCATGCAGTCTGTCACTTACCGGACTCCGTTTCAGCATCTCCGTTTCGGGTATCACAACGAAGTACCAAACTAGCCAGAGTGAATTGTTCGCTGCGAAGGATGTGAATAAATTCATGTGGAGTGTTATGCGCGCACATTTCAGTGATCTGCAATGGACGGTAAGTGTAGATGAATTATTAGATACTGAATGGGCAAAAGTTGGGGAACTTAAATGTTATTGGTTACACTATTGCTCAAAAATAAATAAATGTGAGTTAAAAATGATGATTCAATTATGTGAGTAACAAAGTGAAAATGCTTTAATAAAATTGTGGGGGCGTTTAATAACAGTAATAATCGTCAATAATTATGGAATTATTTATAAGTTACAACATTTGTAACAGGCCTATTACACAATGTGGTTAGGAACACTAAAATGAGTTATTCATTAATTTAAAATTTTTTAAATTTATTTTTGATATCTTAATGTAGCAAATAATTTGGCTATATGGGGCCACCATAGTGGATATTATACCAACTCTATACCTTATACCCTAAATGGGGTATATTAAGTTGCTCTTTTCTCACCAAGAATCTGTTCATTTATTGGAATCGCCGATAACGGACAACTATAGCAAATAGCTGCTATGTATGGCTACTAGACCGAATATAGAAGTCAATAAGCAAACGTATACCCAAGTCCTTATTATACATGGCTTACGACTATCAAACACAGGAAATTATGTAGCACCAGCATTTTAATACTCTCACAACATGTTGCGACAGAGTACAATAGTTTTATTCACCCAACAGTCGTTTGTATTAGCTTAAACTAATCGGTACGTATAACGTTAAATCTTCATAAAGGCAAGTTGAAAAATTGGGCAAGGTGAAACTGGACGAAATCTCACATATAACAAACGTCTAAATTCCATTTGATTCTTTCATTTTACTGTATAGTAAAATCAAACATCAATGAAGTTATTAGAATAAAATTTTACACAAATAATACCTTGAGGGTATTTAATTTTACGCCCAAAAATTGTCGAAATCGGACTATAACTTTTCAAGGACCCATACGCCAAATATATGAACCGCAGTGCGTATGTCAAATTTTTTTGCCGAACATATAAATCAATCTGTGAGGTTTAGTATTGTAAATCAGGTAGAATATTTTTGTAATAACGAAATGACCTTGTGCCAAAAATGAATATAATCGGTTCAATACTTCTCTTCTTACCTCTTTCCTAAACTAGATGAAATTAAGGCAATACTTCCTTTAGTTCCCACATACCTTATATACGGTTTTCAAGCATCCGCTTGACTTTATATCTTATATATTTGTCAAGATGTGAGGTTTCCTTATGAAATTCAGATAGTCTCTATTTTTTGCAGTGATACTATGTCCTAATACCAAAGCTGGATCAATATATTCCTTAGCCTTATAAAACTTATATAAGAAAATAGATAATTATAGTTATCAAACTTCCGGTTGACTTTATATAGTATATATCGGTCAATATGTAAGTTATCTCAGCAAAATTATATGAAAGTAAAAATTATAATTTAATACCGAGAATGTGTGATATTGATCCACGTGTTAAGAAAGCGCCCATATAATATATATGATAATTGTTTCTTTATTATTTATTATGATCATTCCTTGTTATAGCTCAAAAATTTGGTGGGGGTTTTAACAACATATAAAATTGATACGATTAATGCGTTTATCATATGAAGGTTTAAAAACTTTATAGTCAATTATTTCTCTCGAATATACTAGTAAAAAAGGGGTGCCATATATTTGAAAAACAAAAATAGTTTAATACATTGTTAAAATAAATTCAATTAGCACCAGATTAAGGGGTAATTGGTATATACACAAGTATGTAGTACATTGCAATATTTTTAAAAGAACAATGGTTTTCAGTTCCACTTCAGTTACTATAAACAAATTTAATCGTTTCAAGTATATATGATACAATATTTCGAAATAATCTATTTTATTGTCAAATATTATATATTATATATACAAAGAAATCTAACACTGTCGGACGCGGATTTACTAACACCGGTTCGTTAATTCTATATAACTAAATTGAAGAGGGTATTAATTTAAAAAAAATTTTATGAATATACTCTTTTCTAACGCAATTTTCTAATTTATTATAAAATGTTTATAAGAGACAGCAAACATAAGAATCTAATATCGAGAGAAAACATCAAGGTAGGGCGGACTTGGTTCGAGTCGATCCAAGTAGTTGCCGAAATTGTAAATTTGTAAAATATTAGAAAGATTTCGAGATATCTTAAATATGTTAAATTGTTTACGTTTATATAAGGATACCTGAATGTCTTGCATAGAAACCATTAGTAATATTTAATGTACAATATGTGTATATTATAAAATTTGTAGAGAATTGTTGTTTGCGCAAAATTAGAAATGTTTAAGTATACAGTTGGAAGATTTTTAGAATTAACATGTGAGAGTTAAATTTTACTATAAAATAAAAAAATTAATTTCAAAATCTGCTTTCTATATTGCAATTCGGTTTTTGAGGTTGAGCCCTTGATCATATATAAAGCAGTAGAAGAGGAAAAAATTGTTATTTAGTAGGCTTAAAACAAAAACATATATACATATATAAATCTAACATATTTATTTGCCTGTTGGATTCCACTCGAACGCATTTCGCAAGAACAAATTTTATGAATTTAAAAAAACCATTTCGTAGTTAATAACAGAAAGAGATATAACAGTTTTATTTTCACAAACAAGTTTCTCTTACGAAATCTTTGCTAACGAATATTTTTCACAAACATTTTCTTGATATAATGCCTACTAAGTTGCTCTTAAGTTTATATTAAGGTACATAAATATTTTCATTATCCCAACAACTATTCTTACCTTAAAAGAATCAAGTCTAAATATGAAACAAAAACTAGTAAAATCACGCACAAAATCAAAAAATACTTTAAAAACAAAAAAGCCGTATAGCAATCGATCTTCTCTTACGAAAGCTTCGCTATAGCACTGCTATAATAAACTAGGCGAAAAAGTGCGGATCACAATGAAATAAATTAAGTCTCTCCTACAATTTCTGTGAACTTCGAAATATGCAACAACAAACATTAAACAAACTCAGCGAAACGAAGTTTGGTTATTATCATGCCGAAGGTAAGACATGACAAATACAAATTACAATATAAACTACAAAAAAAGTCGCATAGTGCAATTTAAGGTAGGAACAATATGAGAATTGGAACACGAATTATTTTTGCGCCAAGGTCATATAGCATTGTTTTTGTTGAAGTAAACAATTTTTTTTTTTAATGAAATAACAACTATTGATAGTTTCTGATCGCCTGTTCAAGCTATTTTAATATAACTGAAAATTATTTGCTTCCAAGTTATTTTTTGTTGCCCAAGAAGACAAGCATAGAGAAAGAAAAAGAAACTGCTCTATTTCAGTTTTTGTGTTAGGTTCGAGGAACTTTATTTATTAGTGTATATTACTCCCTACATATTTATATTAATAAAACACATTTCAAATTATATTTAAATTTCCCAATAGCTCGTATCACATTCCTTAAAATACAATATATTTATGTACGATATAGTAAAAAGGACTCATGAGAGATTTTATGCTTCAATTAATTATGTACTTTGAATATTTTTGCAGAGAATGCTGCACACTACATTTAAAACTGGATTTGAAATATTGCGCATTACCAGGAATGTCTGCTAAATATCTATATAACCATATAATAAAATATATAACTTTGTACATATAACAATCCCCGTTATTTCCAGCGCATTTTAATCAAGTTTCTACTACGAATTTGCGCTTTCAAAGGAAATGGAAAATATAAGCAACACCATTTAGCTAAATCATCACCATCTCGCCGCTTGAAGGCGTTATTCATAATTATCGAAATGTCAAACCCAGTACTGCAATTGACTTCATAAATGCAGATGAAATATAAGATGATACAAATACAATTATATAAAAGCACGCTCGTTATTAGAGTGTCGCAAAGTGGGCGAAAAAACAGCAAGCATTTATTAAAGAATTTAAAATATATTATTATATGATAAATTAACCTTTCACCTATTATTTAATGTAATTAGCTTTTACTATACCTACAACAGTGTAGACTAAGTTTACCACGATGTTTGTAACACCCAAAAGGAAACGTTCGAGAACCTATATCTGTATACCAATGCCCCTTCTGTATATATGCGAACTACTCCCGCAGTTTTTGAGATATCTTTCTAAAATTTTGTATCCGTCCTTTTCTTACCAACTGAGCATATAAGTTGCTGCTGAACTATCGGAATCATTAATTGTATGTAAAGCTTTTTCATTTGATTATATATCTTCAAGCAATTTGGTATGGGTTATTGCCTAAGACAATGATGCAATCTTCGAAGAGATTGTTCAGATCGGATCATTATATTGCATACAAACTAAAGGGTTGAAATCAAGTGCTTTTAAGAAAGCCTTTTTCATTTGACAAGATATCTTTACCAAATTTATTTTATTTAATAGTTTATTGTTTAGGACAACGGTGTAATCTCAGAAGAAATTGTTCCGGTCGAGTCATTATAGCATATAGCTATCATACAAACTGGCCGATCAAAGTTCTTGTAAGGAATCTTGTGTATTTGTGAAGGGAATTATATTTTCGGTGCAACCAAAGTAAACTTTTTTTTTTGTTTTTAGATTAATTTCCTGGCATTCTGAAATTCTGTTTTTTTTAAATTTGCTTTAGTTTTTCAAAATAAAATTCTGGTCGGCAAAGTTGGTATTTAATGTTAACTGGGTATTAGGAGGAAAATAATTTGGTTAGTTGGAAATTACAAATGAAGCTATTTAGCAGCATTTAAATTTTTATTTCCCTTGGAGGCATAAAATGGAAGAAGCGTTTTTGTTTATGTTTTTACCTATAAACCTAAATCTTTTAGAAAGCGCAGGACGTTATGAAAACAAGCTTATTTATATTCAATATTTTGAACCTTGTCCCTTTTTTTGTATAAAATTAGCAAAGAGAAAAAAAATAATATAACTTCCTTCAAACATTCGTGATTCATCTTTAAACCGCCTAAGGTGCTTGGAAAATAAATGAAAAAAGTGTTCATTTTGGCCACGTGACTGATACAGTGCTCAAAAATGACGCGAATAAAATGGAAAGAGCTGAATTTAATAGGGTTTTAAAGCGTTTAATAGTAACTAGTAAAATATATCATATGTGTGTCAAATGACTAAACCTTGTAAAAAAATTGGTAGCGCGTCATGTTCTTAACGAATTTAAAAAATTCAAATTACTTATATATGCTAATATGCTATTTTATTATAAATTGATTAAAATGTTAATATAAGCCTAGTTAAGTTAAATAAGCTTTTATCTCACAAGTCTACAATCATTAAAATTATTGATGATTATTGATTGTCGATGACAAGGCTACCGTCCGTCTGAGCGTCTGTATATATGCGTACTACTCCCTCTGTTTTCGATGTTTGCTCTGAAATTTTACAGGCGTCCTTTTCTCCTCAAGAAGCTGCTGATATGTCGGAATCACCATCGGACCACTACGAGTATAAGTGCCATACATACTGAATGACTAAAATAAACTTCTTGTATGGAAAACTTTTTTTACTTAACGATATATCTTCAATGTATTTGGCATGGATTATACCTTACGGCAACGTTATAATCTTCGAAAAAAATTTTTAGATCGGACCACTAGAGCATAAATTTTCACAAAAAACAAATTTCAGATCGGAACACTCTATAATAGATACAAACCGATCTATCAAAATGAAGTTGTTGTATGGACACTTCTTATTTGTGAAGTGTATTCTAGCGGGGTACCGACGGGCGGGTGCAACCGACGTTAACGTTTTTTCTTATTTATTTTATTGCTGTGGAGTTGCCTGATTCAGGTAATCGATATCGTTATGTGTGCGCAATTTATTACTAAAATTGCTTAACTTTTTTTTTTTTAATTTGTACAGATTATGCAATAATTTGGTACTTTTGGATTGACTATCGATTATATCAAATGTAACTAGTTTCTTTTAACTTTACAAAAGTCTAAATAGGTATTAGTTTAGTTATTGGTGTTTAAAAGTTTAAGTTAAAATATTATAATAATAAAAATTATATGTATATTTATAATATATTAATTTCTAATATTTACATATAAAATTTAGAATTATTTTTTTTTTCAATACTTACTTGAAATAAGTGTATATAGCGAGAGATAGGAGTATCGCTATCAGGGATATGCCGTAACCAGTCTTATAAAAGAGATTAATGCTGTGCTTCCACTAAAATTAATAAAAACGAAAATATTAAAAGAGATATATGAGTGTATTTTATAAAAAATATGAAATATGCGAATAAATAGAACAATAAAACTTCCAAATTCATCGTCTGAGCATTAAAATATAGACTTGTCAGAAAATGATTTTTGAAAATGATAAAAAAAGAAAGAACATCATAGTATGTTGAAACTCATCGGAAACGAAAGATAAAATAACAAATATTAAAGGAAAAATAATTAACGGACGATCTGTGGTCGGGATAAGGAAGTGAAGGGCGTGGTTGAATTTTTAATGGTTAAAAATAGTTTATCTCGATTTCCGGCAAAACTACGAGTGCTATAGAAAAAAGTTATATGGCAATGTTTTAGATCATTAAATGGTCTATAACTTTTATGTGTAGACTTTTTTCACATAACTTTAAAATTTATGTGAAAATTTCAAAAAATCAAGGTTCATCTTGTACAAAAAAATGTATTCTTTCACAAAATTTTGTGTAAACTTACCATTTTATGTCCTAAACAAAATCATGTTTTTTTTTTTAAATTTAAAACTTTAAGGAGGAAACCGTATTTTGACTTAAAATTGCAAACAAAAAAAAAACTCTAATATGCATTCAAAAATTTTGAAGTGAAAATTTAATTTTTTTTAATTGTGAGTAGGCGCTATGGTTGTTGAATTCTCTACCAAATTTCGTGAAAGAAAAACATATTTTGTGCAAGCTAAAAATAACCAATCCAAAAAAAGTGAAAAAGGTTTACATACAGTTTTGTTATAAATGAATTCTGTCAAACTGCTGTAGCAAAGATAATATTTTCTGCATTAACTGAAAATTAAAGTTTACTTTGTTATATTATGTATATTTCTCATTTTTAAAAGTAGAATATGGACAAATATTAAAATTTTTATATCATTTAGCTATATTGTGGGTTCAAGAAAACATACAATAAATGCGAAAAATTTGTGGCACTACACATTTTATGAATCAGATTTATAAGAATAGTTTATATATTTTCGAAACGGAGTTTTCCGTATAAATACTAACTCTTCTCGATTTGCTACACTTTATAGTAATCTAATCTTTAAATATGTTATAAAAATGCAAAACTTTTGATTTTAATCGAAAGACTCTGGTTTTAACCGATTCACTGCATATACATATATGAGTTTAGTATAGGGTGTGTCATCTTTTATGTCGGTACGTAAACAAGAAAGAACTACCATATTTACTAATAGATTGGTTATATAAATAATGAAAACCGCAAGTAGAATTCTAACACTGCATCGGTTTACAGATACACAAGATAGCACACCCTGTATAGCTTGTTAGTGGAAGGTTGTGAAAAATTCTATTTAAGACGGAAAATAATTTTGCACACTATCTTCAAATCAAAATCTTTATCTTATTTAATTGAAAGTATACTACATTATAATGTCCCGCCACAGTTTGTAAAATAGAGCGCGACATTATTTATTACATTTAAATGTAAATAATAATATACTGTTATCACTTACTTTTTCCGCATAAAACATAATTTCATACATTTAAGAAAATTCTAGATTTATATTCACGTATGTATTTACAAATACTTGTACAACTCACCTCTAAATCATCGAAATTAATGCAGGTCGTGTAATTGGACCAGGTCTTATTCGTGAGCGGATGTTTGTACCATTCACCGTCGCTTCCGCATTCCTTATGTGCAAATCCTGTGTGCGACAAACGGAATGACACGTGTGGCAGATAAAGCATTATATTGCAGGTAGTGTAGACGAGTGAGGATGCGTTAGTAGTATACGAAATGTAGAATAAAATTTTAATGAGTTTGTTGTGTGAGTATTTGCAAAGTGCAGCACTGCTTTTATTATAATCATATAACAAATGTGAGTAATTTGTACGCAGAACATATGACTTAATATATATATAGAAAAATATTTGCAGTTATTAAAATATGCATATATGTAGTGAGTGGTGTTTGTATATATGTATATATTATACTCTGCTAATGAATGCGAAAATGAGGTAATTGCATTTTTCTGTAACACAAGTGAAACCGCATAGTTGCTCATTGCTTTAATGAATATTAAATGTTGTTGCATTTGCATGCACTTTGAGTTTACATAAATACTTCTGCAGGCACTTTTGAACTTTTCAAGTTTATATGCATTATAAGTATTTTGTCTTTTTTGTGTGCATTTAGGCGTGAACGCATGCTTGTGCCATATTGCAGTCAATGCATTCAAGCAGAATGTTACGTATACGCCACAACGAACGTTATTTTGTGGGTGTGTTATCGCATATGTAAAGGTATGTGCGCACTTGCATAGGTGTGCTAGTGGCAATATTATACTATGTAAAATTACTATGAATATGCTTGTTCAGCGGTTTGTGGCGGTGTCTTTTGGAAATTTCGGTTTTGTTCGCTTTTATTGTATTTCTCGTTAAAATTTGGCAGCAAACGTGGCGTGGCAACTCACTTTGCGGTTTCTAATTAAATTTTGATGTTGAAATATACAACCAAAGGCAAGCATTATAGCTCTTATTTAATTTAATAGTGAATTATATATTTTGGAAGATAGCTGACAGTGAAGTTGGAGCTATGATATCACTTTTGCATATTCAGCAACTTTATATAATGAAAATGGTAGTTAAATTTTCAAGAACAGTTTTCCCTTAGCGTCAATGTGCGTCTATCAGACCTTTCGGTATATATTCTCACAATCCTTTTTTATTGAAGAATATATCGAATATTGTGAGCTTTTCGATTTCAAATCGCACGGAGGAAGCAACTTTAGAGAGAGAAGAGAATTCATTAGATTTTTTTAAGTACTTTTTTTGGAGCAGCTTAACAGAGAATGAAAAGAGAAAAAAATTATGAAAGAATACACAAAACATAACACTTTATATCAAGGGACCAGTCTCCAGTTAATAAGAAATACATTTTCTTGGCTTAAGGTACACTTTAGGTTCCTAAAACTTTATTTTCTCAATGTAATATTGACAAATAATACTCCACTGTAATGTTGACGGTTCGTTAGCTCGGTTTTAATGTAGTAAGTTTTCCTAAAATTATTTTAAAATAAAGTAAATCATTATTAACGGACGGTATTGGTGTCATCCAGCTGGTTGGCCCACACCTACCGGAACTGGGGTGTTAGATTAGGCCACATTTCCTAGACTCAGAGGCAGGTAAGGTTGGCGTTCATCCCCGTTCGTCCTGATCGTCTGAAAGAGCGCTTATGTTAAATCCCAAGGCTATCCGGCCTATTAGCCTCTCCTCGTTTTGGTAGAAGACGCTGAAGGGGTTTTTGTATCTACATATCAGGAGCAGTATTCCTAAGGCCAAGGCAGGTCAGTAAATACTGCTCTGCCCGCCACGCCACGTGTCATGGTTGAAATGAGCCCTCTTGCTTAAGAAATATGCGAGGGGGGATATTTCTCAAAATTGAGGGAGCATTCAACAATGCGCGGCCGGAAACGGCCATTAGTTCCCTGGAGAGGTTTGAGGTCGAGAGGCCCCTGCGACAGAACTATCGCCGCGGAGTGGGCCAATACGCGTGCACTACGAAGAACGATTGGGGCATCTCCCAAGTAAAAATGACTTGGATTTATTTATCGTTCCCTCTATTGTGGACTCTTGCCTTGACTTGAATGCTGAAAAGTTGAAGTACATTAGACACATAGATATCTATCATGGAAGCCCAATATTGAGGAATGTATTGATTGCCTTATATTGTTGTAAAGGAGCTATTGGGAAGCGGTGGAGTATCTCACCAAAAGTTGTGCTTTGACTTTACGAAACCTTGGTTAAGCCAATACTGATCTACGGTGTATTTGTCAGGTGGAGATCGCTCGCTAAAGCCAGACAGCTGGATCGTATTGAAAGAACGGCTCTAATTGGTATCAGCGGTGCACTACTTGTATGTACAATACCAGCGATGGCACTTAACCGATATTTTGATTGCATCTCTCATTTCGACTGCAATTTATCGCATTATTCTACTATATTAAGTAAGAGTCGTTGTGGCAAACACGCTTGTAAAATGAGTCATAAAATGTAAAACCTTTTTTATTCTTACACATCCCAATTCAACTTGCCATAATACGAATCAAACCCCAAAACAAGAATGCAAGAATTATTACTTATTAAATCATAACATATCGTTTTCCCGCCGCAAAATTTCCACTCATACAAATTTGGATCAAACAAAACCAAAAACTTGACCGCAAATACTCGTACTGACCATTTTACTCGGACACTACAAATAACAGTAAAATACATGTAGCAGCACTTATCGACACCGCCAAATTGAGTGCCGAAATGGTATCACGTTGCCAGCGTTTTAATAGTCGATGAGTGAACGGATTTCGCAGCAGAACAATACGAACATGATACGGATATAACTGCAGGGAGAGTAGTGTAAAAAAATTAAAACCGCATTTGAAAAGCATCCGTTGACAGGATGTGCCATAAAAACTAATGACTGCACTGAAATAACGGGGTTAAGTGTTTAGAAAATCGATCGTGCGGGCACGTCAAAGATAACCGAACTGCTGAAACAAATATGAAGGAAAATGTTTGCAAAATTTGCGCTAAAATCGAAATCACGAAGATTACTAGACCTCACACTGCAAGTGTTGCCACAATTACATCCATGACAGAGACGAAACGACACCCCCGAGATGATTTTATATGCTGCACGCGACTGGGATTTTATGGTTGCATATCGGTAAAGAGCTTAGGAAAAACGAAGAAAACCAATTTGAGCAGCAAAAAATGCTTTTGCTTGTTTTAAAGAGCAAACAGCAGGAGCGCACAAGTTAGCTAACCACATCCCAAATGCACAAGTGGCAGTAAACAACTAGTAGCGATAATACAAAAACAACTAAGGAAATAGAAAATCCAGTTGCAGCCGAAAGCTGTTTGAATTGGAAAGAATAAGCGCGCTGAAAATGATTTAAATATTTTTTTAAAATTTATGTAAGCAGCCTAAGGCTTATTTATATTGAAAACTTCAATGTCGACGTTTTTGCAGAAAGTATCAAATTAATCGAAATTACTTTCTTTTGTTGCTGATTTTATCAGGCGAATTAGTTAGTCAAACTTCCCTCTTTTATTGGCTTCAAACCTAATAACTTGACTTGGTATTATTGTTAGTAGCTCCTACACTACTGCTTGAACTCACTCATTCAACACTTAAAGCATGCTAAGAAAGGAACATACTCCTTTCTAAAATAATCTGATTACGTTTTAGCATTATTCTAACTCAGACTGTTAATGCAAAAATACTGTGTAACAAAGAGAAAGGTTGGATTTATAATTGGAAGTAGTGAAAATATTGTTTACAGAATTTTTATCCGCGACAAAAAATCAAGTATGACGAGCACAAAATCCATATATTGGGTTTATAACTATTCGGTTAAATTTTTTTCCCAAAAATAAACGTTTATTTGAGAAAAACATGTACATTAAAATTACTCAAAATATTCGCCATCTGAAGCTTTGACATCTACCCATCTTTCTTGCAATTTGTGGATTCCAGCCCAAAAGAACTGCGCCGGCTTGGCAACCAAGAATGAATCAAGCCAATTTCTGATAAGCTGTGTTTGTGTGAACTGTATTCCAGTGAGAGCGTTCTACACCGACCAAAGCAAATATTGGTCTGGGCTATAAGGCGGGTAAGGCAAATTTTCCCAACCACTGTTTTCCAAATAGTTTTTAACCTCACAACATGAGATCGAGCGTTGTCATACTTGAAAATTATTGCCTCGTGTCTAATCGCAAATTTCGTATAGTATAACTTGTTTGTCAAGTTGAGTTTTTAATTAGATCAGTCCGACAAGAATATTGAAGCTCTATGTAGTACAGTTCATCTATATCTATTCTTTTCTATCCAATTGCACTAAAAAATTGGTTTGTTTGATTAAGAGCTTTGTTGGACCGCGCACTTGACGCTTAGTTAATGGTAATATACAGAATTTGTTTGATCTAAGAGACGTGAATATATTATATATAATGTATATACTGTTATTCATGTTTTATAAAACAAAATAAAAAATAAGTAAGAGAGTGAAAAAAACTTCAGAAAAATACTCAAGAAAGTAAAAATACTTTTAGCAACATGTAACACTGGTATAAAATAACAGAAAAATGGTATACTGGCCAGCCTAAAAAATAAAATCAAAGCAAAGTCAACCATCACTGAAGCCTCTTGGCAACACCGCCAACCCTAGTTGATCACAGAATGCAATAAAAGTAACCGCACCGCATCAGAAGACCGTCTACGTTTTTCTATTTCGTTTGAAAACAAATAGCAAAAACTAACAGCAAAGAGAAAACAAAAAGTACCAGCCCTAAGCTGTGTGGCAGTAAAACTAACAAATACAAATACATGAGCTGCTCAGTGAAATAGAAATCGAAAGACCGCATTTGAAACCGCAGGAAACACAGAAAAAACACACACATGTGCTGCTGGTGAACGCAACCAGCCTTCAAAGCACGTATATATTTAGTGTAGTTAAGTTGCTTTAATAAATATGCTTTCTAGCTTTCAATTATAATGAACCAGCTAGCGCAGTCAGTTGGCCTATAAAAAGCGAAAGTATTTTTTCATATTAAATAAAAAACTAGCGAAAACAGCGCCGCCTTCGCCAAAGCAGCACTCAAGCACGCACAGACGGAAGAGGCCAAGCGCCAGTGGGAGTGGGC